TTCACTGCTGCTCACAGGCTTTCTCTAGCTATGGCAAGCAGGGGTTACTCTCTAGTGGTTTTTGGCCTTCTCATTGCAGTGGCTTCTCTTGTGGAGCACAGGCTCCAGGCACATGCACTTCCGTAGTTGCAGCATACAGGTTCAGTAGTTGTGGTGCATGGGCCTAGTTGCCCCAAGATACCTGGAATCTTCCTGGACCAGGGATCAAACTCATGTTCCCTACATTGGCAGGTGGGCTCCCAACCACTGGACCACCAGGGAAGTTGTATCATTACTTTTATGACAAGGGTGAGAGCAGTATGACTTTAAAGATCCTTCTAGTTTAAGGTATCCCTACATTTATTGACAAGCGATTAAGGGTAAACTCTAATTGGATTTTTCAACAAAGTCATAGAGTATCTCCCTATATAGGTCAGTCACCTTTTGGAAGGACCTGCATCCCATGCCCTGGAAAGAAAAGCATTTATTCAATGAATCAGATCTTTCAGCCAAATAGGAATTTTAAACAAGTCTGACATCCTGGCCCTTCCTGTCAGAAAGACTATTCTGATAACCATCTTATATAAGAAGACAGTACCCGGATTTCCCTAGTGGTACAATGGGTAAGAATCCACCTTCCAATGCAGGGGACACTGGTTCGATCCCTGGTCTGGGAAGATCCTATATGCCTCTAAGGAGAAACTAAGCCTGTGTGCCACAACTACTGAGCCTGGTCTCTAGAGACCATGAGTCCCAACTAATGAGCCTACCTGTCACAACTACTGATCCTGTGTGCTGCAACTGCTGAAGCCCGTGTGCCTAAAGCCTGTGCTCTGCAACAAGAGAAGTCATGACTGTGAGAAGCCCGTGCACCACAATGAAGGTAGACCCCACTCGCTGCAACTAGAGAGAGCCCTCTTGTAGCAATGAAGACCCAGCATAGCCAAAAGTAAATAAAGTGTGTGTGTGTGTGTGTGTGTGTGTGTGTGTGTGCGCGCGCGCGCGCGCGCATATGCACTCAGCTGCTCAATTGCATCTGACTCTGCAATGCCATAGACCATAGCCCACCAGGCTTCTCTGTCCATGGGATTCTCCAGGTAAGAACACTGGAGTGGCTTGCCATTTCTTCCTCCAGATGATCTTCCTGAGCCAGGGATCAAATCTGCATCTCTGGAGTCTCCTGCATTGGCAGGAGGGTTCTTTATCACTATCGCCACCTGGAAATGGGGCTCAACAGGAGGATCAGTGATAAAGAATCCTCCTGCCAATGAGGGAGACATAAGAGACACCAGTTCAATTTATTGGTCAGGAAAATCCCCTGGAGGAGGAAATGGCAACCCAGTATTCTTGCCTGGAGAATCCCATGGACAGAGAAGCCTGGCGGGCTATGGTCCATGGAGTGGCAAAGAGTCAGACAGGACTGAAACGACTTAGCCCATAGGCATATATGAAGACAGTACCCAACTACTGTCCTTTCCCTCCTATAGGCTGAGTTCAGGATACAGTCAGCCTTCATTCAAAATGGGCACTTCAGCATGTAAACAATATTCATGAAAAGAATTTGGAGCTAGGAAGTCCTGGGTTTTTTATTTTGGCCTCCTGGTTCTTAAATGTGAGCACCTTAGAGAGTTATTTCTAAAAATAGGGATAATACCTATACAGTAGGGTCTTGTGAGGGAGGATTAGATTAAATTGAAGTGACCAGCATACAGCAGGCACTCAAATGTCAGTTCCCACTTCCTCTTTCCCTCTTTCCTGTGAGAGAGAGAGTTGGACTACTCTATGGGTATGGACATTCACCAAATGGTGTGTCAGTTTATATTTCTCCCACTTTTCTGAAGCAAGGGATCATAAAGATAGATTTAGTCTTCTCTACCTGGTGGAAATTGTTCATTTTTGTCTTGTAGCACTTTAAAACAATGACCAAGGGATCGGGTGGAGAGGGAGGTGGGAGGGAGGACCGGGATAGGGAATACATGTAAATCCATGGCTAATTCATTTCAATGTATGACAAAAACCACTGCAATGTTGTAAAGTAATTAGCCTCCAACTAATAAAAATAAATGGAGAAAAAAAAATAAAGAAAGCTAGTGTTTAAAAAAAAAAAAACAATGATCAAAGTCAGGCTGATAATGAATTATCTAGCTAATCTAAGACCACTTTGATCAACCAAGAGTAAATGCTGCGTTGATTACTACTGAAGGTGGAAAAAAAGGCTTCAGGAAAATCTACCCCAGTATGGCCCCTTTGCAGAGTTTACAGGATGTATGCAGCACCCAAGGTAATAGGACAAGTAAGGCAAAGGGTCAGGCTTGGCCTGAGCATTGTGATGCTTCATTCTCAAGAGAGGAGATAGTGCAAGGCCGCCAGCTTCTTATCAGCGTTCTTATCAGCGTTGTCCTTAACAACCTCAGTGTCTGGTCCAATCTGCTCCAGTTATACCAATTCACAGTCACAAAGCCCTTCTCTTCCTTGCTAAGATCCATTCAGTCACCTAACCATCAGACTCACTGAGGCTTCACCCTACTTCCCCACCCACTCTGTTTTCTTCAACTGCCAGAGAACTTCTCTGAGATGAAACAGAGGCCAAGAATCTGGGGCCCCTTGGACAGGAGTCTTCTTAGCTGCTGACACACACAAGTGCTGACATGGGAAAGTACCGCTGCTGAATCAAAAAGCCACTTCCTAGAGACAACGGAAGTTCTCAAGGCTTGGTTCCTGGAACACTACCAATCTGGTCCAGAACCTTGAAGCCTTCCATGCCTCAGTTTCCCAGCATGTGGGAAGGATAATGATAACAAAGGAAAATTGCTACCTATTGCCCAAACTGTCATCACTATAAGCTTGAATGACTCGACCGACTTTAGAATGCTGTTAAAAGTAATTAGTATTTACCATGTTTTCTGAGATGAAAGGTGCCAAAATTAGGCAGAGCTGAGTCAAACAGCGGCGTGTCAGCTGGGGTGCAGTGACGATTTGACAGGATGTTCCTTGGCTTGTAGATTACACTTTAATTTTTTTGTCATGGTAGAATTTTTTCAATAACAATTATTTTACTTTTTCCTTTGTAAAATATCCTCACCTTTCTCCTTCCAAGTCCAAGGCATGAACAGTTGTGTTGCATTGCAAAACCCACTCCTCCCAGTGGAACTGTTCAGGAATGCGATTAAAAAAAAAATAGTTGAACCTATCTTTTAGATTCTTGTTCATACCCTGCCATGCAAAGGAGCTATCAAGCTTTTCTTCCCCCTTTCCAACAAAACAAGTAAAATTTCTAAGATTGAGAGTCCATGAGATCAGCTTCTGCCCTGACGGTTGTCTTTGCCTCCCCCTCCATTTTCAAATGAGCTTCATTTCAGACTCATTTTGAAAATGTAGACTTTCATTTGCTTCCTAGGCCACATACTCTCTGCCTCTCTGCTCAAATGTCAAGAACACAAAAGGAAAAGATTTCAATGAGCATTTGCAATCTGCCATCCCGACCCTCTGATGTAAGAGATGCAAAGCAGGCTAGAGTGGGCCTTGGCTTCTCTGAGAAAAGAAGGAAGTGGGAAGGGGCCCCTGGGCTGTGGTGGAGACTCTATCAGCGAAGTCAGCACCTACAGGCTGATGAAGGTAGCAAACCGGCCTGTGCCTGGTGCCCCACAGTGAAACTCCCCTACGGGGCACCGTCTGGGGCTGGCGAGTTTCTGCACGCTGTCTGCACTCCTACACGCTGTCAGTGACACACGCATCCTGTGAGTCGAGGAGCTGTTTCTTGTGGGGCGGAAGCCTCTTCCTCACTCTCATCTCCATGTGATCCGAATTCTTCTCAGGGTTCCTTTAGATGCTAGTTCTACTAGTTCTACTTCCAATGGCCAGGATGTCCACAGGTAGCTTATATTCTTCAAAACCAAAAATGAAAAAAAAAAAAAAACCACACTAAAAGAAATAAAATTGGGAGCCCACTTCTGGCAAAATTTTGATTTCTTGACTTGTTTACCATGTGACAGTTTCGATCTGCTTTCCATCTTGCATTGTCATTTGCCTTCTTTGGTACCCTCTGGGCTAGCCTATTGACAGCCATTCCAGAATATGGCTGGACAGTGAATTGCCTGTCTTGAAAATTCATCCTCAGAACAATTGTTGAGGTGAAATAGTCTTGGGCCTTCCATCAGAAAAGATCAGCAATGTGCTTTGAAGCATCAGGACTGTCACCTCTCTTAACCTAACTAGGACCATATTTCTCTCCATTTGTGTGTCTCATCAACCTCTCAGATGCTCCGGTTTCCATTCGGTTAGACTGCTTTGGGCTTAGTTGTGAGATGAAGACCTATTGCCAAAGGTTCAAGTTGGTAGTGATAATAAAACACTGAACCTCAGACAGAAAAGTGACATGGTATCTTACTTGCCAGAAATCAGCAACCACAGGACTGAAGTGATTTCCAAGATTCAGGATTTGCTGAGTGGTCCTAATTGCTAACAGCCAACAGAGGAAGGGGATGCCTCAAACCAGCCAGCATATGCTGTGAAGTACTGGACACAGTCTGCTAAGAATGGTGGTTTGCCCATTTTTGTGGTTGGCCATCCTTTTGGCAGGATAAAAATCCCCAATGGCCAATTTACCCCACCGATCACCACTTAACAAAAAACAAAAAAAACTTAGATTTGTTTATTGAGAAGAAAACCAAAGCTCTAGACAGAAGACAGGGATAATGTCTTTGCATCCCTGGGGCCTAACGGTCTCAAAAAATATTTACTGGGGTCATTTGATTCCTGGGAGAGTTAATCATACATAATTTTCCAACCATTTCTGTCTTGGACCTGCCCTTGGAAGGCAAATCCTGGCCTTAGAGTACAACCAGGTAATGGATTATGGCTGGACTGATTTTTTAATTGTTACAAAACGTGGTAAGGAGAGGAGAGAAGCAGCAGGGGCCTGAGCCTCCCAAGAGCTTAGAATTCATTGATTGGTCATTGATGATTTGTTAAAGATGTTTCTGTTTAAAACTTGATGGGAGCAGGGAGAAGGAAGGTCCAACATGGTCACCAAGATGGCCAGAAATCCAAACGCTATGACAGGCAAAGCTCTTGGTATAAAAGCAAAAACACTGGGCAACAGGACTGGACTGTGCGTTTCTGAGGTCACGTCAGCAGTCTCCTGGGCTGCAGCTTTTGCTTGCTCACGATGCAATTTGTTCAAGCAGTGCAGCTGGGGGCAGCAGCGCTTTGGATACAAAAGCGTCGGCTGGAGAGAAAATCAAAGTAATCCTCATTAAGTTTCTATTATCTTAAAACTTAGAAACCCTAATGAGAGACTTTCAGAGCAAGTGGAACAGCAGGAGGGCACATCTGATGGACGCTGTCTTCTGTAAGGACGTCACTGTTGCCACAGGCCAGCTGTGTGCCCACGTGCCTCTGAGCAGTTTCCCCAGAAGCAGCCAAGACAGATGGGGCACTCAGGACTCAGAAGCCACAGGGAGGAGTCCAAGAAGAAGGCCAGAAGTGACACTGGCATCCTGAGGGCGACCCTGGGCCAAAGGGCTGACTATCTTTAACCCTGCCTTTTGTTAGTTGTTCCTCAGAAACTCTGAACAGATGTAACTCTGAAGGTCCCAGGTTCTTTTAAGTGGAGTGATGCCTAAAGGAGGTCAAATCCCTTTTGAAGGACTCTCTCACCTCGACAATTCTCAAACTGTGTTCTCATCACATTTCAGGTAGAGGAACTTCTCGTGAGAAGAAGGAGGATGCTCATTCCCCCGGCAATGAGCAATTGTGAAAACACTTCTCTGTAGACTTGGCAAATGGTTTCTGGCGTTTTCTGTCCAAACACTACATCTCCTCACCAGCTCTGCAGTACATCTGGGCACTGCACGGCCCAGTAGTACCACATCATCTCTTGGCCCTGAGCCAAGAGTGTGCCCGGCAGCGCTTAGCACCATACAGGGAGTCTACGGGGTCCTCCAAACTCCCTCCTACTAGAGCAGGGGAGGAGATTATCAGGCGGCAAGTCACAGTGTTGTTAGGTATTGTTATTATTATCTTGATGTGTAATAAATCTGCATGGTGCAGTGAATTAAAGCAAGGCTCTGTTCTCACTTTACACACTGCCAGTAGTTTTATTGTAACAGCTTGAAGATGAGCGTTTTCCTTTTTAGGCAGAGAAGAGGAAGCTGTGAAATGTGAAGAAAGAACAAAAGGATATGTGAATGTAGTCTGCCAGACAGGTATTGGACAAAAGCCAGCTCATCAGGATAGCCAGCATCTAACATATCTATGCTCAATGGTGTTCGGGAACTTTGGGGCCTTACAATGCCCACAAGAATTCATTTGAATTCACTTTCATATCAATGGATCTGTATTCGCAAAGAAAGACAGTGCTTTCTTTCCGTGATAAACCTGAGTTGATTGTAGGATCACACAGATTGGTTCTGGAACTCATTAAAGTCAGCAAATGAGCATTAGTGAGATAGCTGCATAGGCTGAAATCGTGATAATCTGTTCATTTTGGCAATTATGGCTCAAAGGATAAAGAGAGAGGTGGTGAGAAATGCTATAACTCCCAGCAAGAATATTATGATGCATTTCAGGTGCCTGTCCTGTGATGTACATGCCCTGGCTTTTCTTCCTTTACACCATGCACCTCAGTTCTGCAAGAGACAAGGGAAGGGCTTGAGAAACACTTCCCCTCTGCCCTTTGCCAAATTCAAAGCCCAGGCCAAGGCCTTTAATCATGTCCCCAGCATACCTGACACTTAATGAATTTTTTTTGTCAAGAGTCTTCCTCTTTGGTAGCAAATCTATTGCTATTCTTTGTTTTAGAATTTAGCCTTTACTTTTGAAATTCAAATTATTAGTCATTCAAGATTTCTTAACCCTCTAGTTCCAGGCCCTTCCATTTAGCTTTTTCTTCTCTTGCACTAGGCTCATAGGCTACTTTCCCCTAAACTAGACATACTGTGTCCTATTGCTCCGCTCTATGTCTCATTGAGTCTCCTAAGTGTTTATTAAGCTCTCGAGTGGAAGCAGTGACAGATTTTATTTTCTTGGTCTCCAAAATCACAGCTGATGGTGACTACTGCCATGAAATTAAAAGACACTGTTGAAAGCTATGACAAACATAGACAACATATTAAAAAGCAGACACATCACTTTGCTGACAAAGGTCTATATATTCAAAGCAATAGTTTTGTCCAGTGGTCATGTATGGAGGAGAGAGTCGAACCATAAAGAAAACTGAGTGCTGAAGAATCGACATTTTTGAGTTGTGGTGCTGGAGAAGACACTTGAGATTTCCTTGACTGCAAGAAGAACAAACCAGTCAATCCTAAAGGAAATCAACCTTGAAAGTTCACTGGGAGGACTGCTGCTGAAGCTCTAATACCTTGGCCACCTGATGCAAAGGGCCGACTCATTAGAGAAGACCCTGATGTGGGGAAAGGTTGAAAGCAAAAGGAGAAGGGGGTAGCAGAGGATGAGATGGTTAGCTAGCATTACTGACTCAATGGACATGAATTTGAGCAAACTCCTGGAAACAGTAAAGGACAGAGGAGCCTGGTGTACTATACAGTCCACGGGTTTGCAGAGTCAGACACGACTTAGCGACTTAGTGACTGAACAACAACAGAGTATACAGTTGACACTCAGTATGTAAATGGTAATTAACTGATGTTCCAAAGAGTCATATATAGCTCATTCTACAGCTAGCAGCTCTATTCCCCTAGTTTACCATCATCTCTGCATTGCCTTGCAGAATTGTGCACTCCTCATGACTTCCAGCCCAAAGCAACTGACGCTCTTGGTAATCCCCTTGGCAAAACCCTAGTACTCACCCCTTCAGTCCTCCTTAGAAAATACCACACTTTCCCTTGAATCTCATTTATTAACAGCAAGCACTAAGACAGGAAATTTCATTCTCTGAGTTTGAGTAATCTCATGAATTCTATTTTTTTTCTTCTATGTTTTTCCCCTAATACATTCTACCTCTGGTTAATCTGTAACAAGCCTAATCAGTACGAACTCTGGAAAAGCTGAGATCATAATTTCTGAATCTGGTTTGAATTTGGGATTTGCTCCCTCAAGTCAAAATTAATATTGTCAATGTACTAGAAGTGTATTTTCCACTTTCTGACCTAAAACTAATAGTTTTTATGCACACAGTTTAGGATCTGGCTCAACTAATTATTTGAATAGAAAGGAAATTTCCAACCCCTTCCCTGGCCTTTCTCCTATCTTACCACTGCTCCCCTCCCACCCCAGCACACACACACACACAAACACACACACACCACTGAAGATGGGAAAGATGGAGTCCTCGCCTGAATTCCCCTTAGATTGTATCATTGTTTTGAAATGATTGGTTCTTATCCAGAAGCAGACAGGGACAGAGTAAAGAGTTACTGTTTTAGCTCAGCCATATAAAGTAGTGCAGATCCCAGGCTTCAATCTTTCTGTAAGACTGCTCTGGGATATGTTCTTCTTTCTAATGAATAAGCAGATTCATGTTAACAAATATTTACCAAATGCTTATTTTGTTCCCAGTACTGTATTGTTCATTATGTTATTTCATTTAGCTTAACTATTACCCTTTTAGGTAACATTGATGTTTTCATTTTCATAAATGAGGGAGCAATATTTAAATTTAAGTTAAATTTAAATATTTAATATTTTAAATATTTAAAAATATTAGGTGGTATAGATCCAAGATGATTAGAACCAGAAGATTGATGATGGTGACTCCCACTTAACCTCCCCATAAATCAATTAGAAGAACATTCATGGGCTGATCCTGCACTCTTTGAATCATTACTGTGAAACTCCTCTCTACCCCCTCCAGGTGGGGACACACAGTTTTGAGGGCATTATTCTGCTGTGGCCACCTTTGCTTGGCAAAGCAATAAAGTTATTCTTTTCTACTTCACCCCCACCCCTCAAATATTAGGTGGCTCATGCTGAGGAGTAGAACCAGAGTTTTGGATTCCAGGTCTACTGTTCTTCACATTTCACCGTGTTTCTTCTTGTCCAATTTCTAACTTTGTGCTAATAAAATTCTATATGCTAGAACTGTAACTGTCTGTACAAGGTGGTTACCCTTAAGTAACCTACAGAGGACTGACATCTGCATGTTACTTAAGAGCAGGTACCATTCTGATGAAATCCCACCCTAGAGATAGCATTGGCTCCTGAGTAAATACTCACCTAGTAAATACTCAAGTAATACTTCATCAAGGTTTATCCAAATTTCTCACAGAAATTTGGAGCTTAAGACATCTCCAAGAGTGGGTCCAAGTGTTGTGCCTCAAGGAAAGGAATAGAAAGCCTAATGATACTGTGAGATGCTGGTTGGGTGTTCCTTTCTGCCATAGATAATGGGTCTAAGCCATATTACTTTAATTTGTTGTAAGCAGTATTGAAAGTTGCATGAAAATGGGGGTGGGGGAGAATCTCTGCCTAGATTTTTTTTTCTATTTTTTAAGATGTTTTGTTAGCAAATAATGATTTATCTTTCCTACAAAAACAGCTAGTATTTTTTCTTTTAGCATTTACCTTGTGTCAGTTACCATTGTAAATGTTTATGTATTATTCAATATTCACAACAACTCTATGAGGTACATTTTATATACACAGATACTGAGGCTCTGAAAGCAGAAGTAATTTGTCCAAGGTCACATAGTTGGTAAGTTGTAGGGTCAGAATTTGAAGTCACACAGTGTGACTCCAGAGCCTACATGTTTAATCACACTTAGGGTTTCCAGAAAAAATACAGAATGTCAAGTTAAATCTGAATTTCAGATAAATAAACCCCAAGTATTGCATGGAACATATTTACACTAAAAATACATTTGTTGTTTTTCTGAAATTCAAATTTAACTGGACATCTTGTATTTTTATTTGCTAAACCTAGCAACCCTAACCACAATCTTCTGCCTTCTTAAAAAGGCATACATATGTCTGTATCTATACAGGTTGCTTAATTTGTGGTTTACATATGCTTGAGTTTTGTTACAGAATAGGAAATGATGTTAACTCATCCACAAACTAGAACAGGCCTCTTGGATTCCTCTTCCCTCCATTTATTGAAGGCTGGGTTGGTCTGGGGCCAGTCTTTCCTCTGATAGGGTGGTTAAATGCAAGCTTTTCTCTATTGATAAGAGAAGTCTCTGCCTATGGTTGGCACATTCTGGCCTCCTGCTCACATCAAACTTTCTCTTCAAGGGCCAGAAGTGTCCTGCTGGTGCTCACCCTTACTTGCTTGCTGCAGTGCTCACCAACTTGCTTGCTGCAGAAATCTCAGGTTCTTTGTTGGAGTTTTAGAGCTACATGGTTGAGTAGCTGCTTCCTCCCAGATGACGATGTTCACGGAAAGAAATGGAAAAGGATGAGCTGGCTTATCAGAAAGGGACACTGCACATCAAATCTGTTGTGTAAAACAATAAATAGGCAATATACACATCACCAAACACTCATGTTTATCTGGGTGTCCATGGATGGATGAATAAAGAAAATCTGGTGTATGTATATAAAATGGAATATTATTCAGCTATAAAAAGAAGTAAATCTTGCCATTTGTGACAATGTGGATGGATCTAGAGGGCATTATGCTATGTGAAATAATGTGAAAGAAAGACAAATACTGTATGATCTCTCTTATACTTGGAATCTAGAAAACAACAACAACAACAACAAACTCATAGATACAGAGAATAGATTGGCAATTGCCAGAAATGGGAGAAATGGGTGAAGAGGGTCAAAAGGTTAAAGAAAAATTAGGTGTTACTAGCATACAGCTCATCCCTCATGTGATTCACTACACAAGTTGGACAACATCTGCGCTGGTCTATGCCCTACTCAACTAGACAGGTTTACTGACCACTCGCTTATATGTCAGAGCAATATGAAGTTGCCGCAAAATATTCTAAATGTTTACTCTCATTTTCTGTATTTATCTGAAGGTCAGTTGGTGCTACGGTCTGAATGTTTGAATTCCCCCAAAATTCTTATGTTGAAACCCTAATTCCCAAGTAACATGTCCAAGGTCACACAGTTGGTAAGTGGTAGAGTCAGAATTTGAAGTCATACAGTGTGACTCCAGAGCCTACATGTTTAATCACCCTTAGGGCTGCCAGATAAAATACAGGATGACAAATTAAATCTGAATTTCAGATAAACAAACCTCAAGAATTGCATGGAACTTTACACTAAAAATATATTTGAGCTGGGCACTTGG